GAGCAGGGTCCAAGTGTGGTGATACCATGTACTGTGTGCCACTGGTGATCACCCCATACTCTGCATCTCATTTTCCTTGTCTGTGAAATAAGGACACTGCAGGGCATGGGAGTGCCTGCAGATTGTGTGCTGTTCTGGAAGAGCTGCTCCCAGGAGTCTGCCCTGGCCCCACTTCCCTCCAGGTTATGGCATCACCAAACAGGGCCACAACTGTGTCACTCCCAGGGTCCAGCACAGACGTGCACTGGACAGATATTTGCATGGTAAATAGGAGGACTCTGTGTGCATAGTGCTCCCTTGGGGCACTGGCCCTTGCTAGTGTGTTGACCTGATGGGCTGCTTGCTCATAGCTACTCACTTCTCCAGGCACCTTGCCCTTTGTCCTCCACCAGGTGATCCCCTCTGACCTTTTCACTCACTCAGTCTCCTCCCTCCACCTCTTTACAGTAACTGTAGGCAGATGGCTTCATATGGTTCTTTTTTTCCCTCTCTCCCTCTGCCCCTCCCTATACAAAATCATCAGACTGGCAGGTGTCTGTACCTCATACCATCCTTTTCCTCTCCTGCCCTGTTATTCCTGCAGACCCAGGTCCAGGTCTTCCCTGCATAGCCCTTCTCTCAGCTGCAACTCCTTCCTGGGGCCCCATCCCCCCCAGCATCCAGGTACGCCAGCCTTTCTCACCCTAAATTCTTAGAGGCTTTCTCCCCAACCCTCTGCTTCTTCCAGTGCCCTAACTCCTCTTTTCTTTCCAACCAGTTCTTTCAGAAATATTGCTAATCCTCATGGATTCTGCCTTGTCCTCAGTTCTAGTTGCTTCTCCCAGCCCCACTCCAGGAAACCGATCTCTGTCTGCCACAGTCTCTGTGCTGCTGAATCTGGTAGGCGCTTGGCCATTTCTTTTTTTTTTTATTTAAATTTGCCTTAATATTTTAATTTCAGTAGTTTGATAGACAGTACAAGTAAACAACAACAAAAAAAAATGGAAGAAAACGAAACATTAACAGCTTTGAAGGGAGAAATTTATAATCCCCATAATTGGGATTGAACCCAAAGGCTCTCTATCACTCTATCATGCTTCATCCTCAACCATTTTTCTTTAGGGTCTTGCTAAATTGCAAGGCTGGCCTCAAACTTGAGATCCTCCTGCCTCAGCCTCCTGGTGTAGCAGGGATTACAGGCATGGGCCACTGTACCCAGCAGAGGAATTTATAATCTTATAGGAAAAAAAAATGTGTGCAAAGATAATTCTATGCCAGGTGGTAGGTACTGCCTAAGTACTTGTGCCTACCACAACAGGGGGGTGTGAAAGGTTACGGCCATTTCAAGGCATTGAAATCCATCCATCCTGAAAGGCTCTCTCTGCCTTCTTCAGGAGACCACGCCCCCAGGGTTCTTCCTGCCTTGCAGCTGGCCATGAACTCCTCAGCCCCAGGCTGTCTCTTGCCTCTTTTCTCCCTTGTCATCCTCTGTCTGGGGTGTTCATGCCCAAGACTTCAGGAACCAGTTAGGGACTGTTGACTTCCAAATTTACATCTCCAGCCCAGACGAGATTTCCTGAGTGTTCACTGGGTGGCAGGTAGCACTGCCCTGGACACTGGGACATGGGTGCAAGGGAGGCAGAAGAGATCTTGCTGTCTCTGGAGCAGGGTAGGACAGCCAGCAACCAAGAAAGTAAGCAAAGAGAAATCCTGCTGCTGATTTGTTAATGAGGAAAATAAAATATAATTGGTTCTGGAAGAAGTAGGGAGAAGTACCTTGGCTCCTCAGGTATGAGAGCCGGAGTTGCCACAAGGGACTTGAGACTGCACACTCACTGCACCTCTGAGGCCTGTGTGTGCTTGTCTTTCTCTCTTAGCTTTGGCTTGCCACCATGCTGAGCCTTTGGGGGACCCCCAGAGCTCCTTTCCTTGGGGGGGGGGCCCCCTTTGGCTTGGTGGGTCCCAAGTCCTCCAAAGAACTGACAGACAGGCCCTGCCCTCCTGGACTCATGGACCTGGTCAGGGAGAAAGGTGTCTATCTCATTGCTGCCAGAGGAGAGTAAAAGTACCACATGCTAGGGATGATGGGTCCACCATGTGACATGACACAGGAGCCGACAGTGCCATGTGGGCCCCATGAAGAATGAGTCTAAACATGGTGGAGGGTGGGGCCTGAAGGAATCAGAGTAGTCACTTGGCAAGAGGACAGAAACATGGTGGTAGGACATGGCTGGGCAGAGGAAGGTAATTTCCCTGAGGCCAGAAGACCTGGGAGCTGCCACAGTGGGTTAAGCTTAGAGTATGGGAGCAGATTTTCTTTTCCGGAAGTTCACTCTGTTGCCTCCTGAGAGAAGGCTCTGGAGGGGGCTGGGTGGGGAGAGTATGGTAGGGTTCAGGGGAGAGGAACCAGTGGGATGGAGTCTGAGTGATTTTTTATTTCCACAGACGTTAGAAACCTTATCTCAACCGGTTCCCTGTGAGGAGCTTCATTTCCTATGGATTTGTTTTGCTCCTGATTTATAAGTTAGCCAGATCACCAGGTTGTAGTCTTACAAGAGTGGCCACATGAGATGCCCAGTTTATTATCCTGTTGGGGTAGAAGCAGCTATGGAACTGTGTTTATCTATTTTCTACCTATTGTTTATCAAGGTCATTATGTGTATAGCACTGGATTGGGCATTATGGAAAAATAAAAATAAAATTTATGATCTCTTGGAACACATATATGTAGCTTGCCATTTAAAACAAGGACAGGTCCTGGAAGTATCTCTGTGACTTTGGAGTAAATGCTAGAGGTTTTTCTAGGGGCATCCCAAGAAAGTTGAGCAGTTAAGTTTTACCTAGGGGAATTCCGAGGAGGACGTGGGTTATAGGTGGTGTTTTTAAGAACAGTATATGTATTCTTTCATAATCTGACAGAAAGAATGATAGATGGTGTATTAGTTGGCCTTCATCACTATAATGAAATGCAAGATATAGGATCTTTACAAAGAAAAAGAGGTTTAATTTGCTCCCAGACTTGGAGGCTCAAAGGCATAGCACCTGCATCAGCTCGGTTCTGGTGAGGACCAAAGGGCAGATGGTAATGGTGGGAGTGTATCCAAGCCAGCAGTCCCATTTCAGATCCAGAGCAGAGAGAGATTAGTGTCCCACAGTCACTCCTGAGGACACACTCCCAGTGATGCATGGGCCTCCCAGTAGGCCCTGCCTTTTAAAGATCCACAGCACCTCCCAGCACCACCATCTTGGAGACCAAGTTCCCATGATATGAACCTTTGAGGGGAACATAAACTATATTCACACCATAGCAGATGTCAAGATCAAAGCCAAGAAAGTACATTTTGACCAGGGAACAGGCTGTGTGAGAGAAGGTAACTTAGGCCTGAACTCCCAGTTCAGAATTCTGTCTGCTGTGTTTTGGGCAGTCTCATCTTGGAAAACTCTTTTCAATTTTTCTTAGGTAAATTATTGAAAAATAAAGCAGCTCTTACTGCTTAGTGAAAATTTTTTTTCAAAAATGAGAACAGATTCGGGGTTGGGGTTGTGATTCAGCGATAGAGTGCTCGCCTAGCATGTGTGAGACCCTGGGTTCGATCCTCCACACCACATAAAAGTAAATTAATAAAAATTAGGTATTATGTCCAACTATAATTAAAAAATAAAATATTTTTAAAAATGAGAACAGATTTGTTCAGGGCTCAGTTACATTCCTGCTCCCTTAGGCCCTGTACAGCTGGGGAATGGGTTGGGTGGTTGTTGGCTCTAGGTCAGAGCCTCATGGCCTTTGCAAAGTGCATCTGGGCAGAAATGAGCTCCACTGCTTTGGGCAGACAGATGGGGCACAGCGGATATGTTGTGTCAATCCTACAGGCAACGAACTGCTGGGTGCTGGTGGTAACAAACTATCCCAGCTGGTCATTGCCCAGAGAGCCCTCCTGATGGGGGACCCAAGGCCCAGATGATCTTCATGGGGTCACAGTGGAGAGCACATCCCTTTAGGCCTTTGTGGATGACAAGGTCCCTGGTGGCTCTGCTGCATGTTCCCTCTGATTCTCCTCTACTCTGCCCCAGTATTTCACTGGTGTGTTACAGGCCAGCCTCGTGAGTGGGATGGCTCTTATAGTTGTGATGCCATCTGGAGATAAGTGGGAGAGTAGGAGCCTAGAGATAGGCACACAGGAGAAAAGCCAGGAGGAAGAAAAGTTCTAGGTTCAGGGGAGCGCCTTTCTGCAGCCTAGTGAGGGGGCCAGCAGGGAAACCTTTTCTCTTAGGAGGTGCTAGACTGAGTTCACTTCCTGTTGCTTCTGTTACACATGGCCATGAACAAAATGGCTTATGGGAGCACAAAACTTAGCATCTTACAGTTTTGGAGATCCAAAGTCTGAAAGGGGGAAGGGCATGGCTCTGCTGCTTCTGAAGACTTCAGAGGAAGACCTGCCTTCTGGACCTTTCCGGGTTCTAGAGGCCGCCTGTATAGGGGCTTGTGGTCCCTCTTTGGTCTTCAGCTCTCTCTGACTCTGACTTCTGCTTCCACCTTCCATTGCCCTTCCAACCCTCTGCCTCCTCTGTCTGAACCACCTGCCTCCCTCCTGGAGCCTGAAATGGTGGTGCAGGCCTGTGATCCCAGCTACTCAGGAGGCTGGGGCAGGAGGATTTCAAGTTCTTTAGTGAGACCCTGTCTCAAAATAGAAAGTTTAGAAAACAGCTGCGTGTGTAGCTCAGTGGTAGAGTACCCATGGGTTCCATGCCCAGTACTGTTTTAAAAAAAAGAGACACAATGAGAAAGAAAAGGAGGAAGGAAGGAGAGAGAGAAAGGAGTGAGGTATCTTGTGAGCCTCTGAAGTCCAGCATTACCGGAGGTGGGATGTGAGCCTTGCCCTCCAGCAGCTCCAGGGAATCGCCTGCAGCAGAGCAGAGAACATTGTCCCAGAGCAAGACTTGAGGGTTGTGTGTTTTTTCTATATTTCGTTTGTCCCATAAGCACAGCTGTTTTACATGTTCTGTTTTTATTTGGAAAGCAGATTTCCAGCAGGAAGAACAGCCTTGTGGCTGTCCAGTCTTCAACATCTTCTAAAATAAAGGTACCAGCCCCTCAGCCCATTGTGAAAAAAGACAAGCGGCAGAATTCTTCACGGTTTAGTGCCAGCAATAATAGAGAACTGCAAAAACTACCATCTTTAAAAGGTAATTTTTATTTGTCTTTTAAAAATTAAATGTTTCAATACTTGGGGAAGAAATAATGTTTTGATAGTTGCTGCTTCTTATTCCTTCACTGTGTTTATATTTCTCGGCATCATCTTCTCACTTGAGTTTTTTCTTAAATGGAATGCCATTGATTTATTTACTCAACTAACATTTTAAGTTTCAGAGCTATTAAGATACCAATCCAATAACTAATGTATTATAAGTATTCTACACTAAGAGGAAAAGTTTCACATCTTTTCATAGTAGTTTCAAGTAGGCTAGCCAATTTTTCTTGCAAATTATTCCCTTTTATTAGTCTTTGAACTGTAGCAGTTCAGAAAGGAGTTTCTACAAGTAGAGTAGTTGTAAAAGTTACAGTAGAACCTCTTCATTCTTCTAGTATTAAAGAAATGAAGAAGTAGCTGTGGTACTCCATGGACTTGCTTTGTTATGAATCATTTGGAGATACCTCCAACCAGGGCTCCTCATGGGATCAGTCAGGGGAAATTGCAGTTCACTTGAAATTTTCCCCCAAATGGCGCAGCTGCCTCTGTCCATTTGAAAGTGCAATTCCTAAAAGTTTCTTTCAGATTTTGAGGTTGAGATTTTGAAAATCTTATCAAGGAAATGGGGTAAGGACCCTAAAGAAAAAATGTGAACCTCTGAAAACCTCTATATTTGCCAATATAAAAGCTGGTACATTAAATTAAAAAAAAACAATGGGTGTTTTTCGTATCTTAAATTCTATTACTGGGCCTTTTACAGTTAATCTTCATAACTGTATTCCTAGCACTTTCACACCATGGGGCACAGCAGGAGCTCCATGCAAATGTTCAGGGATTGAGGGGAAATGGGTACATGGACAGGTGAGCACATGAGTGGGTGGGTGGTTGGATGGATAGTTGGAGGGATGGAAGTGGGTGGGTGGTTGGATGGATAGATGGAGGGATGGAAGATTTATGCATGAATTTCCTGTCATTTGCTTGCTAGAAATCCAGGTTCTCCACTCGCTGCATTCTGCAGAGCCTGTGTTTGGCTTATTCACTTTAGCTTTGTGATTTGATAATAAGGTCACTACATCATTTTTGATGATTCTTCCCCCTCCCAAACAGTCCATGCCTTTCTGGTGCTACTTGTTCCCATTCAGCTGGACACTTAGGGAAGCAGGCCTGTTCTAGATCCTGGGGGTGCAGCATTAAACAAAACAAAACCCCTCTCTGGCACTCAACAGTGGTGACTTAGCAAAAAGAAGGGATGTGTGCATGATACTCCTCCCTTCGATGCTCTCAGTAGGCCCAGGGTCAGAATGACTTGGATGTCTGGGATGAAAAGGCTGGGCATAGCTATTACTGACCCTTCAAGCACCAAGCCCTGCCCTAGTCCTATCCCAGCTGGCACATTGGGTCTGAGCTGTGCCCCTTTCACACACAGGTCAGAGCCTGGGCAGGCACCAGTGTAGGCTTGAGTGTTCTTCTGGTCTTCCTTCACATCTTCCAGGGAGTCTGTGTACATGCCTCTTTTTCCAGCCATCACTCTGCCTCTCTGTGCTGCTTTCAACCCCCATTTCTTTCTTTTCTGATTGTACCTGTCACACAGTATTCTTCCACTGACACCTAAATTTTCATTGTTCTGCAAAAGTGTAAACTCTACATGGTCTATCCATGTCTAGGAGCATTTCACACTGATCAAGACCTCACAGGAAGCCACGCATGGTGTCACACGCCTGTAATCCCAGCAGCTCGGGAGGCTGAGACAGGAGGATCACAAGTTCAAAGCCAGCCTCAGCAAATTGAGGTACTAAGCAACTCAGTTGAATGCTGTCTCTAAATAAAATACAAAATAGAGCTGGGGATGTGGCTCAGTGGTTGAGTGCTCCTGAGTTCAATCCCCAGTACCCCCCCCCCCCCCCAAAAAAAAAAAAAAAAACCTCATTGAGCTTGTTTGATAATTCTTTCTCTGGTATTCTAGAACATCAGTAATACTGTCTGGTTCAGAAAACATCAGAATTTATTGGCATTATCTTAAAGTTCTCTATTAATTTGGATAAGAATGATATTTTTTATAACTTTCTCCTTCTGGAAGAAGACCCATTTTTGTGGGTCTTGTTTTCTGCTATGTTTTGGGCTTCTTATAAGCCTTCACCTTTTCATTAAATTTATTTTTAAATACTTTGTAATTTTTGTCACTCTTGTGACTGGATTTATTTTTGTCATTTTGATTTATTTTGATTCTCGTTAAATTCCTAAAAACAATTGATTTTTAAATGTTTTCTTTTGCCATCACCATACCAAATTTTCTTATTAATTTAAGTAAGTCTTTACTAGAATCTGCTTATATAGCTCTTAGAGCCCTGTCAAAGATAACTAATCAGGTCTTTTATCTCTGTTTCCTTCCCCTCCCTGCCCCAGTACTGGGAATTTCATGCGGGGCTTTTCACATGCTAAGCAAGTGCTCTACCATTAAGCTACATCCCCAGTCCTCTATTTTGTTTTGTTTTGAGAGTATCTCACTGAGTTACCCAGGCTGGCTGCAAAGTTACAGTCCTCTTGCCCTAGCCTCCCAAATAGCTGGGATCACAGTGTGTCAGCACTCCTCTCTCTCTCCTAGCATTTATACCAGTACAGGTGAGCACAAGTGGGTGGGTGGTTGGATGTATTCTAATTTTATCTTAACACTGACCAGGACCAGTTAAGCCCAGGTAGTAGGGGATAGCAGGCATCCTGTTTCTCCCATTTTGATGAATAGCTTCAGGATTGCCGCATACAACGTGAAAGTGGCTCTTGGTTCTGAGAAATGATCTTCACTGGGTGGCTGGTGTCCAGGATGTGCACCAGCATGGCCCTGGCTGGCTGTGCAAGCCAGGTGGTGCTGTGCCAGTGCACGTGCTATTACGGAACCAGATTAAATGCTGTGTGATTTTTTTCTCTGCAAGATGTTAATGCAGTATTATAATTGCTGTCTTGATAGATCTTTCTGGTTTTGCATGATCTTTGTTGGAATAAATCTCAATAATATGCTTCAGCATATTATTGTTTTTATATATTGCCTGATTCCATTTACTTAATTTTCTTAATCTTTGATTTTATAATAAATGCTGGAGAGGATATAAAGAAAAATAACATTTTCACACTTTTGGTGGGATTGCAAATTAGTTCAACCACAATGGAAATCAGTATGGAGGTTCCTGAAAAGAGTAGGCGTGGAACTACCATATGACCCAGCTATACTACTCCTCAGTATTTATCCTGAAGAATTAAGTTGTCACACTACAGTGGTACATGCATTACCCATGTTTAAAGCAGCACCATTCACAGTAGCCAAAGTATGGAAGCAGCCCAGGTGTCCATCAGCAAATGATTGGATAAAGAAATGTGATGTATAAACACAATGGAGTTTTATTCAGCCATAAAGAAAAATGAAATTATGTAAATTTCAGGAAAATGGATGGAACTTGAGAACATTATGTTGAGTGAAATAAGCCAAACTCACAAGGTCAGGGGTGGCAAGTTTTCTTTCGTGGAAACTAAAGAGGGAAGAAAGGTTGAGGGGAGGGAATTTCATGACAGTCCAAGAGAGATGAATAGAATAAAGTGACCAGGGGAGGGAGTAAGTGCAGGGGAGTGATAATTGGCCCAATTATATATATTTTTTCTCTCATGTTGTTTTATGAGTTCCTTGAATTTTTACAACACTACCTTGGGAAAATGTCAACCTGGTGAAGGCAAAATAGCCAAATTTTTGTCTTAAGAGTTGGTTAATCCATGTTAAATCTATTTGTAGTGACTCTGTCACTGTCAAAGAGGTGATAAAACCGCTAACAGTTACAGCATATAGATGTAAGAAATAACACAGGTTTGAGTGACTATGCTACAGTGTTGGGACAATTAAAGTGGAAACAACTTGGGAATAAGAGAGTATATACTGGGTGTGTGTTTTCCTTTGAGAATAAAGTCCTAGCTGAATTCACAGGAGATGTAAATCTTGAGTTTATAAATTTGTAGGATTGACAGCACACTACTGCAGTAGAATAGTATGTGCAGTTTCTTAAAGCTTTGATGAAGAAGTTTATTTCCTGAATTATTTCCCTTGCTTTTAAAAAAAAAATATATATATATATGTATATGTATGTTTGTGTGTGTGTGTGTGTGTGTGCGTGTATGTATGTATGTATGTATAATGTGGTGCTGAGGATCAAACCCAGTGTCTCATGTGTACTAAGGGAGCGTTTTACCACTGAACCACAAGCCCAGCCCCTCCCTTGACTTTCAAACACAAAATTGAGGAGAAACAAAAAGACAACAAAAGTTGATAGAGATGCTCCAGTTTAAGGATCAAGAATTTAAAAGACAAGGGGTTTGGACACCTTAGATGTATATTTTCAGTTACAAGTAGTTATTTTATTCAAGTAGTTATTTCCCTTGCTTCTAGAATACTTGAAAAAGTATTGCAGCATACTTGAAAAAAGTAAACTTTGTTTATTACAGTAATCTGCAAAAATAAGATGTATTTCCATTAAGCGATTAGTCATGTGATGAAGGTCCAATAAATCTATTACTTGGATGTTCAGGCATTAAAAATACTTTTTAGCATAATTATATATTGTTATATTGTGTGCACATATGAATATGTGTAACAACGAATCCCACCATTAGTACACATATAGTGCACCAATAAAAAAATGGGAAAAAAACAATATTTACTGCTTGAAGCTAGCATGTAGTGTTCTTCCTTTTTGGTACAATCATAGCTTATCAAATCTAGGTGCATTGATACTGGCACTCTGATCTTTCCTGAAGGTGGTCCACAGATAGTTTCTACCCAGCTCCTCATACCGCCATCTCATGGCAAGGATCGATGCATCGACTTCAGAAATAATAAAATTGTCTTCATGAAATAAAGTTAGAAGGTTGCTATAGGACCCAGCTGGGCTGAGTGCTTTTCTCTGTAATAATCCGTAGCTTCCTTTTATAGTGGGTCACATGGGAACTAGTACAAAGTAC